CGCCTCCTCTGCTGGTGGTGCAGCCGGTGGTGCGTCCGCGGCTGGTGGTGCCTCAGCTGGGGCGCCTTCGCCCGCCGGGGCCGCTGCCTCGCCGTCCGGAGCCTCGCCCTCTGGCGGCGCGGGTGCACCTTCTGCGGGAGCGGCAGCTGCAGCTTCCGCAGGCTCAGCGGCCTTAATTTTGGACGGGTCACGCGACTTGCGCGACTCACGCGGCTTGGTTGTTGTCTCTGGGGCCGCAGCGGTCTTCTTCTTTTGCTGCACGAGGAGAAGAGACACAGAGAGGGATTAGTCGAGAGCCTAAGAGGGGAGGCAAACAAAATCAGAGTGAGCTCTACCTTCTTCGGCTTGGGCTCCACGTCTGGCGGTATCTCCTCGTCGGTCTTGTAGTCCTCCGGGAAGAACTTGAGTGCGTCCAGGCGACCATTTTCCACGTTGCTACTGCAATAGGTCGGCTCGAACTGCACCAGCGAGAGCATCGTGTAGGATTGCACTTTGTTGACCTTGAGCACGAAGCGATCGGTCTTCGCCGTCTCCTTCATGTCATCATAGCGGAATATCGAGTTCGAGATGAGCTTCGCTTCGCCGGGCGTGTCGCTGGTGAAGAAGCCGTAGAGCGGCACATCGTCCTTAATGGACTCCATCACCTCCAGAATGTCATCGCGCTTGGATGCCTCGAACGCCATGATGACGTGCGGCGGCTCTGGTGGCGGATCGGGTGGCAGGAATCCGGTCGTCTGGTTGCGGAAGAACACATAGATCAGGGCGGCGTGGGTGCGGCGATTGTTGGCCACCCATATGGGCGGTATTTTGACTCGCTTGGTGCGCGTCAGAGGCTTCGGTGCCTCCTCCTCTTCTTCCTCGGCCTCCTCTTCGGTGGCGACGATGTCGTCCAGTCCCAAGTCCAGGTCCAGCTGCATGCCCGGGAAGGCCGGCTGAATGGCTTGCACCACCTCCTCCTCCTCGCTGCCCTCTTCCTCGCCATCGTCTTCCACTTCCTCCTTGTGGGCGTCATCCGGCTGGGCGCCGGCCTTTGCCTTTTCGGCCGCCTTCTTCTCGGCCGCCTTCTGCCTGGCCTCTTCGGATGAGCTGATTTCCTCCACCCAAACTTCGCCCTCTGCAAGAGCAAACAATGCGAATAATCGAATGTCTCACCCCAATACCCCAATCCCAACATCCCAACATCCCACTTACCTTCCACTTCAACCTCGAACTTGACCTTCATCGGCGAGATGATCGGCGGAATTGGATGCGGCGCAGGATGGTCGTCGTCGGGCGGTGCAACACGTTCCTTGGTCAGCTCATGCGCGTAGGTCGCCAGCACGTGCGGTATGGGTCCAGAGGACTCGTCGATCTTCCAGAAGCATATGAGCAGCTCCTTGCCATCCAGTTGCTCGATGACGTCGGTCGACAGCGGATTCTTGCAGGCAAAGTTGACGACCTCAAAGTCCGCTGCGGACACTTCGAGGTACTTTCGATCCTTGCACTGCATTTTCAGATGATCGGCTGGCTCGGCGAGCTTCTTGAACATATCGCGCGAGACTTGTGGGCCAAATACTGTCACGCCAATATCTGGCAAGTTCTCCATGATAACGTCCGTGCAATGGGTGAGGTAGTCTATGCGCTTCTTGTGCTGCTTCTCCCGCTCGATGCGTTCCGCCTTCTCGATTGCATCTCTCTTGATTCTAAGCGCCTCCGCTTCGATGGGCTGCAGCGCGTCAATTGCGTAAGTCGGCCGCGGGGCTGAGGACTGCGACCTCTCGAACTCCTTCACAATGAGGGACACCAGCTTGGGTGCATCCGACCCATAGAACAGGTTCACAGCTCGGCCATTCTAGAGGCAGCGGAAAAGCAGGGTGCTCAAGGACGGTAGCGAATGCCAGCTGCACGGACTTACCACGACAAACAGCCAGGTGGGCTCGCTCTTCTTGTAAAAGCGCCTCAGAGCTGTCACGGTGTCTGCTTTGCACTAGGTGGGAAATTAGATCCAATCAGCTATCTTAGAGCGTAGATTGAGGAATGCAGCTACTCACAATTGCCAAGCTCATGGCCTCGCCACCCACTTCCAACTTGACTTTACGCAATGCGCCAAGCATTCCCAGGCAGGGCCCACACCACTCGGAGTAAACTTCCAGAACTGCAAATCAATATAGATCATGATCATTATCAGAGAGATATATGTATGTATATCTGTATGCATACTGAGCAATCCTGGACGGGCTATGAACTTCTCTAGATCCTCGTCCGTATTGATCTCGGTCTGCAGCTGCTGTGCTCCTCCACGCCTTGCCATTGTCTGCGCAGCTCACTTCCAAGGTGATACATATGCAATTTTAGATCCAAGTAATTTCGAAAAATTTTGATAAAAGATCCAAATTGTTGTGCAAATCTAGCATAGTGTTAGTTGATGTGTGTGTTCTGAACAACTGCTCAATATTACGGACTGGCCCCTGCCAGCTCAGCAACTCATTTTCCAATGAAATATTGATCAAACAATTTTGTTTAAAGTCCCAGCACCAGCCAGACGCAACAATTTACAAAATTGGGTCTGCCCAGCTGCACGATGCTCGCTCGTGCATAAATTTCTCATTTGATGGGCCACAATGGAGGTGTATTTATAAAGCAGCTCAACCAGGGATCCATCTCTGTCAAAAGTAGAAATTATTGCTTGCAAGGGTATTCCCCTCTTATTGTGCAATTTATTACGCATTGAGCTGCTTACAAAGTCTGAGGTTGGAATACATAGGCTATACTACAGACATTCATAGTGACCAGTCGAGCCGGAGCATAGCCCAGCATTGGCAGACTATTCTCCCTACTTACTTTCCTGAGCTTAAGTGAAACCCTCCTCAGGTCCTCCACGTCAGCTCTACGCTTAAGCAAATGTAGATGTCTCGTATTACCTCAGAACAGTAACCGGTCCAGGAGCTCCTCAGTCGCTTTTATGTCCATCTGGAGCTCTAGCTACAGAACTGAGAAAGAAAAATCATCTTTCGGCTTAACTCGTCCCCAGTATTACTAAGGGTAGGTCTATAGCAAGGACAATACCAACCCGAGCATGGGGGAATACCAGGTACTTAACCGAATTACTGTTTCTCAAAAAGACGAGTATAAGAATTTTCAAGATTATTATTATTAATTTAAAGAATATTAAAAAAACAAGTAGTATAGCAAGAACGGGCACTACCGACTGCAGAATACCCATAAGCACTGACAGCATCAAAACAATGCAGGATATGGGCTTTACCGGCTCTGCGCCGCTGATTTATATACATATGTATATTGTATATATCTATATATATGTTTTTTGAATACTCCATAGAGCAATGGTGTTGGGCAACCACCAATATACTCACTTGCAGTTCCATAATGAGATTGCATAAAACCAATGTACTGAATAATTATAAATATCATATTAATATCTCAAGTCAGGACTCATAGAGATGAACAGTGAGACGGAGGGCCGGACGAATAATAGACATTTTACAACAAGTAAGAAAGCTCTTACAACAAGTAAGAAAGCTCTCTAAACGGACGGACGGACAGACAGATATACAGCGCAAACAATCGTCGCCCTGATCAAGAACATATATACTTTGTGGGTTCTGCCACGCCTCCTTCTGCCTGTTACATGTATTTTAAAAAAACCATTACAACCTGATTTCCAATTTTTAAGGGGTTCAGGGTATAAAAACTAATATACTCACTTTCAGTTTTGTGAATGACTTCAAATCTAATCTTAATATCTCTAGTCAGGATTCATACGGGTGAGCAGAAAGTCGGACGGTTGACATACATTCCACAAGAACCAATATACTCACATTCGCTTACGCGAATGAGCATAAATATATGTAATATGACAACAAATAAGAATGCTCTCTCATTCACTGTCCATTAGCGACTACTGGACCTTGGACCAGTTCCTCGTCCATATCGATGTCATTAGACCGTTCGGTAATCCATGGCATAAAATGATGTTATTCTCCTGGGGTGCCCAGGGCAGGAAACGTTGCGGACGCAAAGTCGGCAAATTGATGCAGCTCCTATGCTCCAATACTCTCAGTGATATCACCTGAGTTGTTATTTCTTTATTTATGACTTATTCGGCCTTAACTCATACTATTTATACAAAAAGCTCAGCTCAACCACCGACTGCCTAATACTCGTTTACGGTCCAAAAAGGGTTTTACTTGTGTTTGGTAAATCTCAAGAGAAGCTCAAAAGTTATGTAAAGCAATGTATTTATATTGCAAGACTCTCTCAAGAATTCATAGAAAGTAGTCTAAAGTTGTGCGTAGTTATATCTACTACTTATATATTAAATATCTTGAGCTGTGAAGATGATTTTACTTTACATATTTCAGCTCTCTTAAGTAATAGCATTTCTATCAACTAAATATTACTATTTTCCGAACTGACACACCTCTTGTGGGCGTAATGGCAAATCTTGTTAATGCCGATGATTACAGTGTCCAAATTTCAAGTCTCCAGTTTCAGAATAGAGAGTAACTGGAATACGAACAACAAGGCGAGAATTGCACAAAGCCAATATACCCGATTCATCTCGTAAATGAGCATAAGAATATATTCCATGATATTGAAAACGATGATCTTTGCCAAAACAAACTAATACGATCGACTCAAGGAGGCTTCAAATGGTGAATACCAATAAGAAGTATATATGTAAATGTGTATATGTGTATATAAAAGAAACATAAACGAATGCTTACATACATGTGTTAGTTTATATGTACATTCGATGTCAATCATAATACATTAGTTAACCACATATTTATTTAAGTACAACATAGTTTCTTCTTCTTCTTCTTCTTCTCTTTCACTTAAGCTTTAGCGAGTACTTACACATTGCATAACAAAGTTGTACATTCCGATTACACATATTTTTACTTTATATATAGGTATATATATATATGTATATAATACGTAATAATTTAAAAAAAAAAAAAAAAACAATTAAGAGTGATCTAGTCGAGGGCGACCGACTAGCAGATACCCTGTACCCAGCCAGCGAGCAGCATTCTTGTTACACACATCCACACAATCAGAGTCTCTCGCATTCTGCTCTCAGTTTTCGTTTCAGTCCAGTCGAAATGAAGTTTTCAGGGCTTAAATATGGCACCCAGTGGTATAGAAAAGTATACGAAATGAATCTCGATCTAATCAATTACTGGATATTGATACATCTCAAATGAATTAGCTAATGTTYCAGAGTCAGACAGACAGACAGAGAGACGGACTGGGCAGTCAGTGCTGATGTTACAGTAATGGACCAGAGGAGCATTTTACTCACGATTGTGTTCTGGTCTTTAATTACAAAAGTTAAAACAGTATTTCGTGTTCAGTGTGTCTAGCGTGGGTAGTGGGCGTTGAATGGTCATTGGAATACTTCGATCTACTTTCACGTTCTCTCTCTAAAATTACTATATACATATATAAACACGAGTTAACATTAATGACGCATGCGTGCGCATATTGGGGCTCGTTGGGAGCGAGCCAGCAGCCGCATGCTCCTTATCGCACTGAAATGCCATTGATGGTGATCACATTGTTGGACACTGGCTCCGGCTCGTATACCTCATCGTTGGTGCGCATCTCGTAGGGCGCATCGTAGAACTGTTCATTTGGTATCTGGTCGTAGATGTTCTCTGCAAATGGATTTCAATTAGTTCATGATTATGCAATAATTGTCTCAATGGGCACCTGAGCGATTGTTCACCCGTTCGCCGCCCACAGCGCTGTCATTATTGCGGGCTCCCCGATGCGCGGCTCCGCCTTGGAATGTGTTGAACGTCGCCGATGGATTGTTGTCCATGTGCATGCGGTTGTTTGCCTCCAGCGTGGAGTAGGACATGACCGCAGCGTTGCGTTCATCTTTCGTTTCGGCCGCCTGAATATTCTCCGTGTTCTTGACGGGCCGCGCCTTGTTGCGATACAGGAATATGAGGCCAAAGATGACCAGCAAGGCGACAATTACTGTGGCGCCGATTGCCACGCCCGTGCCCAGCTCCGAGCTCTCTTGGCCCTCGACGGTCGCCAGCTCGCAGCGCGGCTGCTTGCCGCTCCAAGCGCCCTCCTCGGTGCACTTTCGCAAATACTGTCCGATGCGCTGGTAGTTGGGTATGCAGTGGTACTCGGCGGAGCCGCCGTATAGCGTCGAGTCGTTGACCACAATCACGCGCCCGTTGTCAATGGCTAACGGTCGTCCGCAGTCCACAGCTGTTCAAGCAGTTCAAGCGTAGAGCACATTAATACAAATCGGAGAGGCAGGACATAATGCATATATAATGATACTTACGTCGGCAGGTCGGATTCTTGCCCGACCACTTGCCATTCTTCTGGCAGATGCGCGTATCGTTGCCCATCAGAATGCGTCCCTTGGCGCACTTGAAGAGCGCCGCCGAGCCGACAGCCCGCACCTCCGCCTCGACAATCAGGCCGTCGCTCACATTTGGCAAATCGCAGACAACCTCAACGCACTTGGGCGCCTCGTGGCTCCAGTTGCCATGCTCCGTGCACAATCGCCGCGAGACGCCGTTCAGCTTGTAGTTGACATTGCACTCGTACAGCACAGCGGCGCCATAGTAGGTGGCATTCGTGGCCAAGGTCACCTTGCCGTTCGTTATGTTCTCCGGCGCTCCACACTCCACATCTGCAAGAGTTCAATATTGTATTCCATACATGCACACATACACATACATATACTATAGTCTCTGATCGGTTTACTCACAGACACACTCCGGTATGATGCCGCTCCACTGGCCGTTATCCGTGCAGGTAGCCAGTGCCTCGCCCACCATTTTATACCCACGCTCACAACGGTATTTCGCCAGCGCTCCAATTCTGAAATGCCAACAACTCGATTACATTTCAGCAAACTGGTTTCCATGCAAGATTTCGAGCAAGGTTCCATATTCAAAGTGAGCTAAATACTTGAATTTAACTAAGTGAAATACTCGAGTATAAACATATATGTATATGTATTTTATATTATAAATGATCTTTTTAAACAAATACTATTGCTCTCGCTGGCCCAACATTCGCTTTACACAGACACATGATGAGTGAGAGAGTCCAACATTTCTTCATAAGGCAGATAATTCGATTCTTGACTAAAACAAACTTTCTATTCATAAGAAATTGGTGAGCGGGAGCGAGAGAGAGAGAGAGAGAGAGAGAGATACTCAAGGCAATACATGTAAGTTTTTATCAAGACATCGAGCTAAGCCAAGCTAAGCCAGGTCCGACTGTACGTCCATCTGTTTCTCCATATTCGTATCCCATCTCCTGAGCTATAGCTAAAGCTAAAGAGCTTAAGTCTTCACACACAAATTCCTATATTCCTCATTCAATCAACCTTTATATTATCGATAAAAATCGATATTTAGATATAAAGTTTTCCTATTTCGACTTTAAATAATATATATGTATATTAACTAATTTCAAATAATTATATTTATATTTATATCCGGGTAATCTTCATTTATCGATAAGAATCGATATCAAGAGATATCAAACTCAATATGCAAGTTTCTGTGATGAATGTGAATATTTAGTCAAAAAATAATATATAGACTTCGTATAAGCAGATAAACAAATACTAATTTAAAATATTTATATATAACTGCTTTATATTCCTATATTCCTCATTTAAATTCCTCATTATAGAAGAATCTATATTCAAAGCTAAACCTGGAAGTTAGGTATACGAAAACTACGCTACACGATCTCATGATAATCCTACTTCGATTTTAGATACCAGATATAATATTTCAAAATGGAACTCTGAGCTTTGCTCGTTCCATCTGGAGCGAGAGTTTTTTTTGCTCATTTAGTTGCTAACAGTGCATCTGGCAGTCGAGAGCACCCGCCTGGGGCACTCTTGCTTTAGCACAACTCACTTGTATGTCTGCGCCGTGTTCTGTGTGGAATCGGCTGTCCGTATGAGAGTACGGCCGTACATGCGATCATTGCCGGTGACGGACAACAGGCTATGCGTGGGCAACAAAGGTTCGTGACAGCGAATTTCTAGAGTACAAAAACAAATACAACATTGGATGGTAGATTACTTTCAAGTGAGTTCTTAGCGGAGTAGCTCTACCTTCGCATTTGGGCGAGGCATCGCTCCAGATGCCCGTCTCCAGGCATTTGCGCTTGAGCGGGCCGCTCAGCTTGTGGGACGGCGCGCAGCTGAAGATCACCTCGGAGCCGACGTGCGTGGTGTTGGACACGTACTTGATGGTGCCATAGGGTATGGGCAATATGGTGCCACAGTCGATATCTGGGGAAGTCAAATTAGATGGGGTTCGCCTCAGGTTTTCATACAGACTGCTTACATTCACAGTAGGGCGCGTCGGAGCTCCAATCGCCTGTGTCCAGGCATTCGAGCACCGGATTTCCGTGCATTATGTAGCCCGGATCACAGTTGTACTGTATCTTCGAGTGGACGTTGTAGTCGTAGCCGATGACAAAGGCACCGGCTGGCACTTGCGGCGTCTCGCACGTGACCAGCTCGCAGACAGGCGCCTCGCCGGACCACTTGCCATCCCTGGTGCAATAGAGCTCCGACGGCCCGTCCAGCCAGTGATCCTCGTCGCACTCGTACCTCACCACCGAGTCGACGGTCGTGGTGCCGTTCACCAGTATCGATATGCCACGATCTGGGCGCGCGGGTGCGCCGCAATCCACAAATCGGCACGAAGGCGTCTTGCTCGACCACTCGCCACCCAAGCCACAGGAAATAATCTGGAATGACATGAGGAATAAGTAAAAGATACTCAATATTGACATAGATATAGGAATATAGATAAATGTGTGGTTAAGGCTTTGATGAAAATGGCCTAGGCCGAGGCACAATTTCAGTCTCTGGACGAAGCGGACGAGCATTGCGCAATGCGAACATACGCGACTTCACGTCGGGAACGTGCATAGCTGTGACTTGCTATGATATGATATCTAAATTTGACTTACGGCCTCGCCGACGAGCACGTAGCCCGGCTCACACACATATGTGGCCGTGGAGCCGGCTCGCTTGTCATTGAACTTCACATGGCCGCCGGTTATCTGCTGGGGATCTGGACACCAATCGACGAGGCACTCCGGCTGCTTGCCATTCCAGCCGTCCTGCAGGCAGGTGCGATTCTCGTTGCCAATCAGCGTGTAGTTCTCGTGGCAGCTGTACGTGGCCACCACGCCGTAGCTGGTGCGGTCCTCAGACAGGTGTATCGAGCCGAATTTCAGCTCTGGCAGTGGGCCGCAATCCACATCTGTCAATTGAGAGACATTTGTAAGAATTAATCGCTTATATGTATATGGAAGCTGAGTCCTTCTACGCACATTTGCAGCTGGGCGCTGAATGGCTCCAGGTGCCATCGGATTTGCACTCGCGCTCGGCGTGGCCCAGCAGCGAGTGGCCCTTGGGGCAGTCGTATTGAATCTTTTCGCCCAGTGTGAACTTCTTGCCCGAGACTGTCGTGTTTTGCTGTGCATCCGGTGAGCCGCAGGACAAAGGCGCTAAATGGACAAGAGATTCATATAGACAGGTGTTGGCACTAGAGATGCAGCTGAACTCACTGTGTTGGCATATGAAATGCAAGTAGTCCAGATTGCACCCAACATCGTTCCAGAGCCAATTGCGCCCGCCGTCGAAGACAACGCAGTTTTGCTCGCCATTGTAGTTATTCGGCTGATCCTTGCCCCATGCCGGCTTCTGCACCACTTCGCCTGCAATCAGCATAGCCATTTGCCGTTGTATATATTGCATAGACAAGAGTTGGCTATTATCGAAGGTCTTACCATTCACCCATTTCCAGGTGCGTGACGTTATGCCCGGCTCCTTTTGTGCGCCAATCCAGACCAATTGCGGTTTCAGCTCCGACTTTCGGCGCTCCAATTCCGATAAAATGTATTGACTGGTCGCGCCGCGAAACTCGTGCACGAGGTTGCCACCTGGTTGAGGGCAGAAAGGATGGCGGCTATCGTTTAAATGTGTCATCGATAGTTTGACGTGAGCTGTGTACTTGCCTGTTTGCTTGCAGATGGCTTGAGCTTTTTCGAAGCTTTCTCCTTTCGTTATATGAAAGTCGTAGCATGTCTTGGAGAATGTCGTCACAACGGTATCAACGCCAATTTTGGGGCTGAGACAGCGATCGACCGAAAATTCATCATTTGTAAAAGTCTCCACCTCACACAAACTCAAACTGCCCTCGACACCGACCAGCTGTATGGCCACATATTGGCCAACGAGCGGCCGGGCGCAAGTGAAAGTCTTCACAATGCCCTCGTCGAGTGTGCCCGGATACCAGGCGCACAGTGGATTCCGTTGCAAGTCCGCACTGCTATTGCCCACACGTATCTCCAGGTCCTGCAGCGGCTGGTGGCCGCAGCAGCCGCGCGTCGTAATCCGCACCACATGCACCGCCTGCGGTGCCAAGAGATCAACACGCCACCATGGCGATGGCTCCTTTTGCGTTTCGGAGCACTCCTGCCCATCTGGGTTCTATGAGAGACAACATTGTAGATGATGCCTCGACATATCGTATATGTATGCTATATGTATGTATGTATGTATATGTTACCTTGTTGCCTGGCTTGCCATCGTTTGCATAGCTGGCCGGTCCACTGCGCGTATAGGAGCTCTGATTAACTGGCTTCCGGTAGGCGACATTGACACCACAGAAGGGCAGCTCTCGCTCCCAACCGGTCCGCGCATCACATTTCACTGTTGGCGATCCGAATAGCTCGTAGCCGGCATCGCATGTGTAATGCGCCTCCGATATGCCCGTCTCACCGGACACTGTGCGAACTTTGGCATTTAGCGGCACTGCCGGCGGACCACATACTGAAAAGAAACACGAAAAGGGCTTTATTTACTGTTATGTACTTACACGCATATGTACATGTGTGTATGTACGTATGTGTGTTCAAGCTTGGATGTGACAACTAGAACGCGCTTTTTTTTAAACATAACTGAAGTTTGTATTTGCTGACCCCTTACTCTCCTACGCTCTCATCTAGACTGGCTCACTCATAAGGTGTAGTGTGATCGAGCGAGAGATCCGATGCTCTCATTTGGTCGCCTCACAATACACCATTTTCTTTTTCATACTCTCACTTCATTCTCAACTGTATGTTTGTGTACATACACACATACTTATACACAAGCAGCTGTGCACAAATATGTATGTCTTCTTCCCATTTCTTCCCATTGGGAAGAGCAGTATTGCAAAACTATTAAAGTATTTGCCACGCTCTCAATGAACGTCAGCTTTTGCATAGTTGTTTTTGGAAAAGAGTATCGAAACCTTGACGCGTTTAATAAACCGTTTCGAGTCAGGGAGCATGCATATGTATATATGTATCCATTTACAACGGTATATAATGTATGTAGAAGTATTTGTGTGCGTAAGCCTTGCTTTGCTGCCTGACGAAATTGCAATAACAACATTTGTGTTCTTGTTTTACTCATTTCAATAATATTGTTAAAAGTGAATGGAAACGTCTTGAGGCTAGGGTTGGGTGTAAGTGCTGATGTACATATACAACATACATATGTATGTACATATGTGTATCAATACATACTTATGCATGTAGGTCCTTCCGTAAGTTCAGAAACAAACTCTTTGTGCCTTAATACGAAAGTCTTCAAGTTGATTTCAATATACAGTGACGAACTAAATTATTGGCACAGCAAGCTTTTTAAATTTTAAAGCAAATTTTTAACTGTTTTTGACTATTTTTTAGTAAAAGAAAACATTTACTAAATAGAATAGGGTTTTTTTTAAATTATACTACAAAAAAATTGCGAAAAACTTCAACGTGCATTTTTGTCAAGTTTTTTTTTCAAATTGATATATATATTATTGATATAAGTTAAAAAATCCATAGATAAATTAAATTTTTTTAAAGTATTTTAATTTAAAGGAAATTAAGAGAAAGAAAAGTTATCTTTTAAGCAATTTTTTTTATGCATATACATACATACTTTAATATGGCAAATGGCTAATTTATGCAAAAACAAATGTCTAGAAATTTATTAAGTTGTCTACTTAATTTTCTTCTTCTTGACTTTCCTTTGTTATTTTTTTAGACTCCAATTAATTTGCATATAATATATAATCGTTTATGTTTTAGGCTTTTTCTTTTTTTCCATAATTTGTAAACGAACAATTTAAAATCTGTTTTTTTTTTTTGCTGTTTCTTTTTTTTTTTAAAATTTTCCCATAATGCTAAAATATTCACATGTTTATGCCTAGAAATTCCATTTTTTTATTTGTTATTCAAATTTTGTAACAATTTTAGAATAAAAACTCTCATAATTGTTATTTTTTTATCTACATCATACATCTATATATATAATATATACTATATACTATGTGAGCTTTATTTTTTTCATAGATATTATTATTATTACATTACGTAGGCAATTGCAGTCAACTGTAACATGATTTTCGCCTCTTCTTTAGCTTTAGACTTTAGTGTTGTTTTTATGCCCATTAAGATATTAATTTTTTTCCATACCATCTGGAATCGGCACTTACGCACGCACACACACACACACATTTCATGTTGCGATCGACATTTTCCTAAAAGAGCTGAAAACAAGTTTTGAATTGGATTTGATTGAAAACAAATTGAAATTTCTCCCACACAGACAAAACGAGTTGGACTCTAGCAAATATTCGCAAATATATGAATATATATGTATATCTCTATATGTATAGATAAGAATCAGAGATGTGCTCCAATCAAGCTCTTCTCTGACTATTCAATTTGGGCCATCTTTGTCTGCCTTTGACGATATCGAAACCCTACAGCAAGCCGAAGATCAAACTCTAGATTGAGATGATAAGATTGTAATGTTAAGCAAATTAACCTAGGAAGAGATATCACTGGATTTTCTCAAATATCTTTCAGCTATTCTAAGCCTCTCAGCGACAAGTTTTGAAACAGGCCGAGATGAAAAGGTCAAGAGTTAAGGCTAATTTAAGCTATGCGCTCGCTCGGCCCAGAGTAGAGTATTTGATCATCAATTGCTAGACGTATTTAAATTTGATATGCATATGCTCCTTGCTTGGGTTTGGCATCGTTTCATTTCGTTTGCTGCTGCAGCTGTTGATGTCAGGTTTCTCCCTTCTCGGCGTTGCAATTGTGCAAAGTGTTGCTAACTTCAATGAATTTGTTATTTTGTTTCTCTCTTATGCCCAAGAGCCGTATAAAAAGCAGTTATTGTTATGAGACAACAATCGCCTTTATCCGGTTTTACCAGTGCTTATGATATCCACACTTGTACGAGGGTTGCCATTTGCATTGTGCGGCCAATCGAAATGAAAAACATGATATACATATATCAAACGAAATTAACTCTGTTTCCACCTCAAGCAATTATTCATTGAGCTGAGCGGATCTACCATAAGACCTGAGCAACTTAGAAATAAAGCGATTCGTGTTTTGTAATTAATGTATGATATATATGGATCTTACTTTTTAGATAAATAAATACTTCTTTCCCAAGTTTAAAGATTTAGAATAGTCACTTAAAATCTTCGATCTTTTTTTAATTCCATATGGCCATAATGTATTAGAAATTTTGGAAAACATTTCTCAACATTCAAGGAAGACCTCGCATAAATCTAGATTAAACCATTATGCATGCACACACGTAATAACTTCATTTTTTTTTTCGGCTTTGTGTGGGTATATGCTAGATGTACATACATACACAGATTCATGTGTTTTTTTTGATATGATAGTAATAAAAGTTATTTCCTTGTCTGATTAATTTCCTACTTATGACTAGAACAAAGTGTTAAGTTTATATCATTAACTTGGCTTAAGAATAATGTTTTCTAACTCGTTTTTTTAGCTATTCTCTATTTATAAATTGAGTTCCAAGCAAGCATTAAAGTTTTTTTTTCTTTTTTTCTTTTTCATAAGGTAATAGACCGCAACTTCCATTTCAAACAATGTTTCCAAGTATTTTTTTTAATTAAATCCGAATTTTTCAGATTAATAAAACGGTTGCAAATTTATGAAAGTAAAGAAAAATATTATGCAAAATACTATCTTATGAAAGATTTACATATTCGTCGACATATGGCAGAGCCAGAGCGCAACAGAGATCAGATCGTGTAATAATAATTACTATAATTATTCGTATTCAGTCCACAGTCTTGAGATATACTATGCGCAGACATCAAAAATTGTCGGCACATTCAACCATTTTTATTGGCTTCAGCTGTTTTCTTTTGATACTCATTCACGAAAGTAAACTGAGCATATTGGTTGTGTGCAATGTTGGTCTTGCTGGCCATCCGTCCGCAGGTCCGCCTGTTCCTATGAATGGAAACCGAAATGGCTATTGAAGCTAAGGGACTGAAATTTGGTACATATAATCCTGTATATCATTGAATTATAGCGTGTCATGATTGTTCCGATTTATCCCCTAGGAACTCAAAATTTAATCTTATATTTCTTCTGATTTCCACATACAATATTATATTGGGGGGGGTGGCAAATCGGAAAATCAAAATTGTTTTCGGATAGAGTAATACTAGAGTAATACTCGCTCAGATACAACATGTTGATCAAAAGAAAAAGCAAATTTTCCGCACTTTTGGTTCAAGCAACTTCCTATAACATAACGTGATAGATCTTATCTGGTTGCAAATTGCGATTCAAGTGATCGAGAGCCATAAAAAATTACAAGTTTTAATTACCAATTCCTGTTGGCATGTGTTATTGGTCAATAAGTTTGTGGCTTAGCCAATATGGCTATGAGTTGAAGCTAAAGCTTTTTTTTTTTTTTTTGTTCATATGAAATGTGTGGGGAGTTTTGCGTATATGCATACAATACCTATAAATAGGTATGCAAATATACAAATTTGGATTGATCTGTTGAGCAAGTTGTTAATTATCTATAATTATCAAACTCTATCAGAGACTTTGATGGATTTCCGAATGCGCATGAAGTGTTTAAAGAGCCAAGCAGCTGATATACTCATTTTGCACATTYCTGATGAGCGAGTGTGAAAGAAAGAAAGACAGATGAACTACCTTCACATTTGCGCTAACTGGGCCAGCCAGCTCAGGTAGAGTTAGGTAGTTGGGTAGCTTGAATCTAAATTCCGTTACGACACAAAAGCGACATTTATAAACATATCACATACATAGGTGTATGCAATGTTTGAAAGTCGTTAACAAAATTCGAAATGCGTTTGCCTCCGGCAATTATAAGCGTTAAATAAAAATTATTTAAATAATGTCGAACAATTGGAAAAAGTCGAACACCCAAATGGGTCAAGAAAAATCCAATTTGTATTTGAAGCTGAATAGCGATTAGTATAGCGATGTGGATGGATGAAGCAGGTGTATTTGAGTCTAGCTACAAGATCTAAATGGGTTGCATATAAAGTGGATCGTCTAGGCCTTCTGGCTGTAAGCCAACAACTGCAGACAATTCTTTGTCTTCCTTTCTTTCATTTCTTCTGTTGGCTTTCAAAATGTATACTAATTAGAATGATTTATCTATGTAGATATACATGTATTAATTTTATAGTAATTCTTCTTGAAATTAATAGACACAAAAGTTTGACCTAAAAGAATTGAAATGTTTCCATACTATGGAAATATACCAACGTTTTGTTTAGCATAGAATGCAAAGAACTATGTGATCTTCTGTAAATATGATATTAGCCCTTAGCATTAATCTGCGGTCTGCGGTTTGAGAACTGGATTCGATCAGTTTCATATTGAGTGAAAAAGGTTTTTTAGTCCAAATTTAGCAAAAATTATGCAAATGTCATAAAGACTATCACATATAGAATATTTATATATAAATGTGAATCAATTATGTCTACATGATCTGCCCTGGATTTGAATGAAATACAGTCATCAGAAATAACAAATACTATTACAAACCTTCCGAAGTCTATCAGGGATGTCTATTACAGGCAAATCTGCAATTTAGAAACTCAGAAATAACTAACTTTTATATTTCATTAAAAACTAAATTGAAACATAAAATAACTAAAAATGATTTAGTCGACACTGCTCGTATATAAGATTCTCTGATGGGAAGGTAATCCAATAGGGACTGTACTGGGGCTGAACTTATTCGTTAAATAAATCCCCTTGTAGATAGACTACCTACATATATCAAAATTTCGTAACACAATTCATGTCTATCGAAATTATATATTTGCCAAAGAACAAATATTCAGTATTTGAAATACTTTTTTTTTTCAAATTTTGGGCGAATGAGGCGGGGTAATAAACATTTATTCAATTATGAAAGCTCTAGTCGAGACTGCCCGACTGCGATATCTCAGAAAACCCTTCGAATATCTATCAAATACACAATCATCTATATTTAAAATGTGGACACTCTAGTTAAAAAGATGTAGGAGATATAAACTGACAACTGACTTTCCATAAGCTGTTTAATCGATATCGAAAAAACGAGAGTAATTATGTATTTTAGAAACAAACTCGACCTGCGCGTGCAGTAGACGGATCTACAAACATTTTTGAATTTCAGTCTCTAGCGCTTATATTTTCAGAAATCGATAATCACACACACGGACAGACAGCTAGACAGACGGACAGCATTCAATCGACTCAACTCTTCGCTCTGATCACAAATATATGGTTAATTTATGGGGTCTGCCACGCCTCCTTCTGCCTACTACATATATTACAAAGTAAAAATTACACCCTGAGTTCGCACATTCAATGGATTCAGGGTATAAAAATTACGAAAACTTTATATGCATTACAGCTGCACTGTAGATCTGAAATCTCTTAAAATAAATGCATTACAGCTGCACTGTAGATCTGAAATAATTGTATATATCCACAAATCATTTCACATTTTCAATGTTTTCAGAATATAAATGGAATCTGTTTCAAATCTTTGTAGAATTTTCAATATCTATGGTATAACTATAAATTACTTTCCAATATCTATAAGTAATTCGCTGCAATCTGCACTTTGCATATCTTATAAAAGCATTTTCCCAAATCAACATTATCATCATCATCATCATCGACATCATCAACATAATATGGTGATAAGGAACTCACCGTGACAATTTCCGTGTGCTATTAGCGACATCATCATCATCATTACCAGGAGTGAGTGTTTCGTAAAGGCCATGGCTCTATGGAAAACGTTTTCCACCGATTCGAACAATAACCCCTGGCTCTGTCCAAAGCAAAACATGGCTGTTTGCTTTTCGCTGCTGCTGCTGCTGCTGCTGCTGCTGCTGCTGCTGCTAGTGGTATTAGCTGTTGATTAGCTTGGCGTCGCACTATGTACGGTTAGTTTTTAAGTAATTTATGTATTTAATTGCATGTGCCGCATGTATGTTTTAAGTGCACACAATATTCAATTAATATTCACAACAAACTAGCTGAGCCGGAGTCGTCGAGTTTTGATTGCTCTCACAAGATTTTCATTTTGCATTCACACTGAAATTTTCACTTGATAGTCATGAATATGAATAATGTGTATGTGTGTGTGTGTGTGTGTATGTAATTGTGCATAAAAAATACAAAAAAAAAAAAATAAAAACAACAACAGATGCATTTAAACATGAAGCAGAAGAAGAAAATCACAATAACCGGGCAATGACTTTGAAGCTCAAAACTATTTGAAACCGAAAATTCATTCAACATGTAAGACACTCACACACACACACATACACATATACATGTTGGCTTCCCAGTTGGCAGTAGATTGGCTTGGGAAGCACTTACATAGATAGAGTATTATGCATTATGCGATTGTTGTTGGGGTCGAAAAACCACTTTACTGGATTTACTTTATGCAGCGTCTGTGGTTTTGATTTCTGTAATTTTTTTTTTTCTTTTTTTTTGCCATGGGAATCACATTCTTGGATAAGTTGGCTGCTTATGGCCCGAACTGTTTGGTGTCTGTTTTGAAATCTCAACCTACGGCCTTCAAATGTTTCTTTGTATATATGGCCGAGCGGCAAGGCTATGCAAGCGAAATATGATTATTGTCTAACGGTCTATTCAAAAGAAATATACATATATATATACTATATCTATACAGATATACATATGTATATTTAGAAATAGGTCAAAAGGTAATAAAAGGAAATGCCCTGTCATATGCTGCCATAACTCAAATGCAATAGAGTTACAGGCTATTTAAATATATGTAGATATATGTATATATCTATATGTTTATGCATTTATATAAATTGCTATTGAGTGGAGGATTTCGTTGACCGGTTTCTCCGACTTTCGTTACATCTAGCTAGTATCTTTCACTAATTATCAACGATGTTGCTTTTGTTGTGCGTCGATCGCTACTGGGCAAGAAACGAAAAGGAAAGAAAAAAGCCCCACAAAACTCCGTGGTTCATTAGTTTTTTGGTTAGTGTTTCATTAATTCGATATACGATGTGTTAATTGAATCCATATGAGAAAGTACAATGCGCTCAAACCGAATCCAAATCCGACTCGGAGTCCGACTCGGTATCGGAATCGTAGTCCAAATCCGAGCCAGGCAAACGCACACACTCACTAGTCGCAATTCACAATTCACTTCGAAACGTAATCCACATTTCAGTTGTTGTTTTTTTTTATGTCACACACACACACACACTTCTTTATGTATATGTATGCAGATATATGTATTTATGATTATATACCATCTACAAACACGGCTATATTATTTATTGATTTCGCTTTCGTGAAATGTTCTACTTTTACTATTCACCAAGATATTGAGTGTGGGAGATCAACTCGTTTCAATTTAACAACAACAAATAACGAAAAAAAACAACATAAATAAATAAATAAATAATAAGATACTTTTTGGACTGGCGAGCACCTTTTGAAATGAATGGTTATCTATGAGCGTGAATTTATTAAACATGTATGCATATACACATGCATGTGCATATTTACATATATATTTAAATATAAATATATATGTATATCTATATACATATATATATATGTATATGTTTTTATTAACGGAGCTCGCTGTTGCCAAACACAACACACTGAAACGCGCACCGATCCGTACGCCTGGCACGTCCGCTTGGAATGAAAGTTGACTTATAACTGGTTTTCCATTCGCGCTTGCCTTACAGAAGCTCGCAGCAATGCGCGTGTGCAGCGGCCGAGCGAGCGCCCGAATGGGCGACCGAACGAACGAACGAGCGACCGAACGAGCGACCACCGTCACCATAAGGTTGATTGGCTTGCTGCTGGGCTGCTCGGTTTGATGGTTTGTTTGTTGGTTGGCCGACTGGTCGGTGGGTCGAGCGTTCGGTTGGCTGTTCGGACGGCCGGTTATGGGGTAGGGCGGGCGGTCGGGTGGTCGGTAGCTAGTTTGCTCGGTTGGTCGGTTAGCTGTTTGTCATTGTTGTGGCATTGTTGCAGACGTGAAATACAAGCAAGCTGCGCAATCGCAGAGCTTTACACAATTTGTTCGAGGGTAGATCATAACGTCGCTTATTGCCAATTTGGGCCTAGATGCAATGCACTGCAATGTCAAGAAACGGACTACAAATGCTTATAAATATTTATATTTGAAATATTTTCCATATGCTTACTGTTAATTAATCCTATTTCGAAACAATTTCCTTAAAGTCTAGATTTGTGTATTTTTGCCCTAATAATAAATTCGATTTTTTATTTTTACTAAGTAAAATCTTAAGAGTATTTTATTTTTGTATTCTTCTTTTTCTTCCTAAATAAATTTCAATTTATACTTTTTCCAAATTGCTTTCAGTTCCATTCCTTATCAACAACAAGAATTAGTCAGCCAAAACTCGTTCTGTTAAATTTTATTATTTGATTCAGACATATGACGTTAGCCCACAAAATGTTTAAAAATATGATATTATATATTGCTGTTTATATTATATAGTGCTCTTCTTGCAGTTCGCAATCAAATGTTAAATTTGGTATTTATGATTTGAGATTGAAAACGTCTCTCGAGAGTTGTTGTAACTTCTGAAGCAACCGGTGCGTAAAAGTGCCGGCATTGCTGCCCCATTGTTAACGACGTAAAGTTGTATATACCCTGCGGAAATTGTATATGGGGTAGGAGTAAGTATAACGAGTACACAGAACGGATTATATATGTATTTAGAACAGATAGAGAACACTGCAAATTGTAGAATTTATATAACAAACTCTATGTAATGGGTGTGTTTACCGCATACTTAACAGATTTAATATTATATATTATATATATCAGATTGAACTCAACAGTTAAAAAACATGTTAAATATAACAGATCGTGTATAACAGATTATAAATGACAGATTGCACTGAACTGGTTTTATTCAACAAATTGTATATAAATTATTATATATTTTTGACTGAATACAACAGATTTAATAAACAAATATATTATTAATAGCACACTGCATATAACAGATTGTTTATTACATTTACATATTTTTATTTATTACATTTACATATTTTATATAACAGATTATACAAATCAGATTGTATATAGTAGATTTATATTAACAAATTGTGTATAACAGAGATACAAGATTTTATATATCAGCCTTTTATAGCATGTTGTCTATAAAATGCGCTAAATTATTTATATACCATTTATTAGATGAACAAATTTTCCTAACAATAATAATGCAATAATGCGAATACAGGGTATCTTTCGATCGAATACCAAATGTTTCTCTAATACCCTTTTATCATTTAAATGGGTCAGAATGGCTATATAGGTCGATTGTAAAGAATGCTAATTGGCAGAAGAGAGAAGTTTTTTACGTTGATAGAATATATCTTCCTGCTCATATAAAATAACCCAGGGGACTCAGTTTGATGATTAGCTTATCTATCCTTAACTCACTTTTTGTCGTTATCGATGCTTGTTCTTTATGATTTTTTTTTAGTTCGAGTAAGATTAATATACCGAATATTTCTTTCTACAGCGCATCGCCTGGTCGGTCACTTCTTGCTATATCACAATATTTATTAGTGGTGCTATGCTAATACTCTGTACCCATTGAAAATGCGTGCCGCCGGGTGTATTAAAACTTTTGCAAATGTGCTAATTTGCACGAAGCCAAATGTGGAAGCTTCTCCTGACCTATTTAAATTATATATGAATGTAAGTATATATGTAACTCTAAGTTTTAGAAAATGTTGGTTCTACTATGACTCAAAAGTAAAAGACGTTGGACTCGGTGAATTAAGGTAATTAATTTATTCGTAATCCGTAGTATCGTAGTACCGTAGTATCGTATCGTAGCTCTAGCATCTCTGCTTTTCTATGTTAAGTTATATCTTAAACGTTTCTAGAAAAGGGGTGAGAGTTTTCCATATGCTACGCCTCAACCTTAATAATAGAATTATATGTATGTATACATAGATAGATACTCCATACTGTCTTCATTCGTTGCATCACATGCTATAAGAAGTTTTTTTTTTAAAGCAATTATTAACCATTATACCATTATAATAATAAGGTAATAGGGAATCTCTTAGTCGCGCATGCCCGTTTCCCGTTCAGAGCCTACTTGGCGTCTTATGTTGCTGTCGTTCAGTTCACAGAGCAACTTGAAATAAGCCAAAGAAAATAAAACCGTACGGTGTATAGGAACTGGAGTACAGTAAGAGCCGTGTTCTGTTTAATTCTATTAATTGGCATGGTCAATAAAGGTAACCGCAGTCAACTGTGGCCAATACATTGTCACCCATATATGTGTGTGTGTGTGTGTGTGTGTGTACTCACCTTTAAGTAGTTCGCGCGTGAGCCCAAACGGCCAACGACTGTCCCCCAGCATTTACGGCGGAATGATGCAACCAACACCGCGCCAGCCCGAGAATGAACGGACAACAGATGTCAAAGACTCTAGCCCTACTCTAGTTTTGTTTTTTTTGTTGCTTTTGGTTTTTTTGTGGTTTTCATTTGGGTCGCTTCTTTATTTGGCTTATTTCTAACGGCGAGCACTAAAAATAAAACTCTTTTTTTATAGATTCGTCACTCCGTCTTGACCGCTTGCGAACCGCAGATACTTTGCACTCTAGTGTTATTAGAACGAATTAGGAAATGTTAAATAGACTAATTAAAAACTACACGCAGTGTACTTATGTTGTATTATAAACATGTGCTTTGATATGTCTTATTCAAGTATTTCGGAACACTTTAAAGTACTGCAGATACTTAACTATATAGAGTTATATATATACTCAGATAGTCATATACTAACTTGTTGTTGATGCATATATTTACTTTAACAATTGGTCATGCTCACGCTTGAAACTCAACTTTAGCTCTCAGTAACACAATCTGTGCATGTTCAACAATTAACTTGGCATATTTACGGTGCTCAGAAGTTTCACAATGATCGGATATAGTATAAACACCAAAGAATGCATGTCCCATAGTTTGGGGCATAGGAAAGAGAAAGTACAATCGCTGCATAAAGTGGCGCAGCTTGTGTCGTGCGTGCCTTTGTCTGTGTGTGTGTGTGTTTGAGAAAGAATGTATGTACAGATGTCAGCGTGAGTGTGTAAAAGAAAGTTCGATTGTATGTTACGACAGCGCTGGGTGCAACTGGGTGCAGGGTATTATCGAGTCATAAACACTTAGCCTTAAAAATATTATGTAGTATATAAGTGATGATGATATTATATACATATAGATGATATTATGCACAAATGTCCAAATCTATATCATCCAAATATCAATGTGACTTTCAAAGAGAGTCGATTCAACTATATAATACTATAGCATTAGAATCCAAGATATATATACATATGTACATACTATGATATATGTATATGATGATGGATATGAATCCAACAGATACCTGTATCATATACATCTTTTGGATATGTAAAATGTATGAAAGATACATAATATATGTGTATCTTTCTCACATAATAAATGTGTATCTCTTGGATTCAAGTACATATATAGGAGGGTTAACCATATTTCTCTTTCGTTTTATATTGGTGAATCCAATCATAAATCATATACAAGAGATATACGTATGTATGTATATGTATATGATATATGATACATGTATCTTTCATGCATGATTCACATATATAATACTATAATGCTATAGCATTAGAATGAGATACATAAATATCCATATCCAAGAGCTATCTGAAATGCTAATGTATCTTTTATGCATATAGATAATCAATGTGACAATCAATGAGATGCGTTTCGCCTATATAATACTATAATACTATAACACTAGAATCCAAGAGATACATATATATTCTAAATCTTTCATGTCCACATCCAAGAGATATATTATATGATACATGTATCAATCAATGTGACAATTAAAGAGATTCGATTTGGCTAAATAAAACAAAAGACCTGCAAGAAGTTATAGAGCTATGTGGCTAGTCAGTAGATCAATCATATATAAAATTGATACATATATACATATATGTCTATGCACAATCTTCATGTAGTTCGTGTCGATCGGCAGTCGTGCGTGAGCTCTGCTGGCTATTATAACGATGATGCAACGTATTAACAGCAAAAACAAAAGAAATATAATAAATGTATAAAATAATAGTAATAACAAGTAAGAAAGCTCTAGTCGAGACTGCTCGACTACGAGATCCCCTGAACCCTTGGAGTGCTAGCTATTTCAATAATTTTTCGCGTCTTTCAGCTTACACAAGAAACACACACACATACACAAACACATACACATACAAGCACCCACGCATAAACACGCATGGGCTGCAGTGTGCGCTTACTATGAGAACTTAATTGTTTAATAACTTTTTTTGTGGACGTACGATCTTCATGAAACTTTCAGATTATGATTATAACATGAATATGCATGTAATTGCCAAAGCACAAGTCTCTAGTATTTGAAATACGCGTTTTACAAAAGTGAGGGTGAGGGGGTGAATTTAGAGGTGGGGGGNACGGACAGACGGACAGACGGACAG